GATGGTTCACTGCCAAGACGCGATGGACCTTCTCGCCTCTCTACTCGCGAGAAGTTGGTAGTTTTTTTCATAGGTTTTGCCTATGGCTAAACATAATAGATTGCCTAATCATTTGGTTTAGCATTTTAACAAACATATTGAACCGAAACAAATTTCATTGGTAAAAAACTTTGCTAGAGATGCTTTGCTATGAATTTTGATACGCATGTTGATTTTAAAAAAGCATTTGACAAAGTAAGACATGACAAATTAGTCCAAATTCTAAAGACAAAAAACATACACCATAGGGACTTACGAATAATGACAAACCTCTACTGGAATTAAAGAGCACAAATCGTAATAGATAACGAACCCAGTCCAGAAATTGAAATCAGGAGAGGAGTTAGGCAGGGATGTATTATGTCCCCATTACTATTTAATGTATATAGTGAAGCCATTTTTGGAGAAGCATTACTATCTCAAAGTGAAGGAATAATAATTAACGGATGATCTATTAACAACATAAGATATGCAGATGATACCGTGATTATATGAAGCTCTACTGAACAACTCCAATTACTGCTAAACAAAACAACAGTTTCTGTGAAAAATATGGACTAAAAATGAATATAAAAAAAATTATGATAATAACAAAGAAAACAAATATACCAACAAACATACATTTGGGAAATGTACCGATAAAAGGGTTGGTAAATACAAATAGGTACCTGGGAACCTGGACTTCAGACAATAATGATCAAACAACCGAAATAAGAGTCAGTATAGAAATAGCAAGAAATGCGTTTGTAAAAATGAAAACAATTCTCTGCAACAAAGATCTTAGATTAGAACTGAGAGTAAGATCACTGAGATGCTACGTGTTTTCGATACTTCAATATGGACTTGAAAGCTGGACATTGAAGCAAGAACACAAAAATAAGTTACAGTCCTTTGAAATGTGGTGTTACAGGAGGATGCTTAGAATAGCATGGACACAGAAGAAAGCTAACAGGGAAGTATTGCGAGAAATGGCAAATAATGCGAAATAATAAACACAATAAAAATAAGAAAGTTTTAATATCTATGGTCTGTTTTTTAACCAGGAGGAGTAATTCAAATTTTCCGCGCCATAAATGTTTGTTTGCAATTGGTCCAACCGCAGGCAAGTTTACTCCACTAAATTATGACATATTGACACTAATATGTGAATAATTTGTGAAATTTTTTTATTATTATTATTTTCCTCTAATATATAAATCGATTTCTGACTCTTTAAGTTGTTTGTAATAACTTGGACTTAGTGATATGCGAATAGTATAATGTGATCTTTTTCTAGATGATATTTATACTAAATATACCTAGTTTAAAGTATTTATAAATTTATAAATCTATGTTATTTATATTTAATTATCATAAGAAAAACGGCAACTATCTTTTAAATTTAGTGTATACTTGTTAAGAAGCATTTCCATTTTGTTTTCATCACAATAAAAGAACATTAGTAAAGTAATGTCGTGTTTTAGTTTGATTGTATGATACAGTTGGTTTTGTTCTTCCTGGTTGTAGATCATCACAAGAAAACTGCAAAATTATGCAAGAATGTGACATAATAGATTGGATTTGTTGATTATCTCACAGAAATCCAGTATTTTTTAGTAAATTTTATTTGTTGATAACAAATGGGACAAACTCACTGTCAAAATTAAACAAGAATCCAGCATTAAAGAAATTGTAAGTACACACTTATTTATACAAAGTATCTGACAAGAAAAAAAACTAGATTCAAGAAATTGATCATACCAGAATAAGAATATGGTCTACTATTAAAATCAAATTTCTGAGAAAAACCATAATTAGATCTGTAACATTATTGACTCTCCCATCAAAATATTCTCTAAATTATAATTAAATACCATAGACTTAAGAGATCTATAAAACTGGATCACCAGATATTTAAATATACATATACATGGGACCAAATGTGAAAAACGTCGTTTTCCGCAAATCGCCAGGAAATTTTGACATTCCTGTCAAAATTTCTTGAAGAAAAAGTCAGGACTTCCTTACTGTAAGGAAATGATATTTCCGTACAGTTGTTAGTGTTCTACATAAATGATAGAAAACACATTGCTTATAAGGAATTAATTTATATTTTGAAAACATCAAGTCATTGCTGAATACATTTTTAAGATCAATTTGTTATATTTACAGTATAAATATTTGACAGTTAGTACAATTATTGAACATTGGAGGAACACTCTTAGAACTATGAGAAACATTTTGGACAACATGCAGGGTGGAAGTGTCATTTTGTTGAATATTTTGTACTGTGAAAATTTTATTTGCCACCTCAACCTCATTGTTAAGCGCTTCTTCGATATATCCTTCAGCAACGTTTGATGACTTCCATCCGCCATGCCTCTTTAAACTAGTTATGTCGGCACCAGAGTCAACCAATATTGTTGCAGAAGACCGACGAAAGCAGTGACCAGTATATTCTGTCGGATTTACCAAGTTCAAATAAGTAGCAATTATTTTGGGCATTTTTCTAGATTGATGAATTCCTACCACTTGTCTACAACCCTTTCCGCTTTGATATTTAAAGAAAAATCGGTCACTGTTCATATTTTCTGGTCTTTTTTTTTTTTTTTTTTTTTTTTTTTGAGTTTTGGCTTGGACAATTGTCATTCAGCCAGTCTCAATCAATATAAGTTTATTAATGTAGTGTGTGTGTGTGTTTGTGTGTGTAGAGTAATTGTCTTGATACTTAGCAAAATCGACGTCATTGTCTTTGCTAAGAGACGCTAATTGTATCCGAACGTCTGCGGTCCCTCCGGTGTGTACCGATCACACAAGGATAGAAATTATTTTCGTTTATTAATTTTTTCTAATAAACGAAAATTTCCACCCAGGTGGGATTCGAACTCACGACCTTTAGGTTTAAAGGCAGGCGCTCTTACCACTAAGCCACAGAGGGGGTTTTTTCTGGTATTAACGAAACATACTTTCGATAAACATTCAAGTAGATCTGATTAATTACAAATGATCTTGGTTTGTTGGTTTTCGAATCAGGTATGCTGATTAAAAGCTTAGATTCTAAGTCTTCTATATCGTGTACAGTCATTCGGACTAACTCATCCATTCTACAGGCCCCAGAAATACCAAATATTACAGCCACCTAAAAAATAAATAAAGCTATAATCTAAATAGAAATTAAAACCTTGTAAATTACCTTAATCATTAAATTTTCTTTATCTGGAGCTTCCTGGATAAATTTTTCAATTTCTTCCTTCGTTAAAATCTTAGATTTCTTTGCCCTATAACCTTGAGCTTGCCGTTTCAATAAAGAACGAAGTTTTGAGTATGTAGATATATCTACATTGTGTTTAAGTGCAAGGGTTGACTTCAGCATTGAATAATTGGCCCATAATGTTGAAGATTTCATCTTTAAACAAAGGTCTAGGAAGTATGCCATTACAACATTTTCTGAGAAAGATCTCGTATTTTTACTCATGCGATAATCCATAAAACGTCTGTATGCATTTTCGTACTTTTCTCTTGATTTCTTTGGCAATAATTCTAATGAAGCAGTATTCACTGCCTCAACCAGCTCTGGAGGAGTCCCAGGAATGTAAATTTCATCATCACTTATCATTTTACTTTCGAGAACACCAGCAATTAAATTTATAAGCGTCAAGTTTGACAATTCAACCTCAATACGTTTCCATAGTAACCCAAGTAATTTTATTAGGAGTTTCAAAGCACCATTTATTTGGGAATAAAATTATCGCGTTTTTTTTAAATCAATCAATATCTGTCGAATTTTAAACGATTTGCGGAAAAATAGTATGTTTACCTCGTAGGAAAAGCCACATTCCTGGACTCTGTGTTGCTAAGTCTCGGCTTGCGCCTCGACTTAGCAATCTTCACAGTCGTCCAGGAATGTTAAGCTTTTCCTACCCGGTAAACAATGTACTTGTAATAATTGTAATATAAATTGGAAGTGAATTGAAAAAAAATATTTTATTATTTAAACATAAATAAACAAAGTTAGGTTAAAATTGACGTGTGAAGTTGTCCAATATTGATTACTCGATTACCGCAAGGCCGAGATAATCAACAAAAAAAGAAGATGTATTTGGTGACTTTTCTAGTAACTTTCTTGATTGTGAATCTGTCTTTTTGGTTTACTCCTCCTGGTTAAAAAACAGAGTATAACACTTAATGAGGGGAAAGCAATATGAACTTCTAAGGCTGATAATACAGGGAAAGATAAGAGGAGGAAGGAGTATAGGAAGAAGGAGAGTGTCATGGTTGAAGAATTTAAGGGACTGGTTTAAATGCAGTTCTATAGAACTCTTCAGAGCAGCAGTAGATAGAGTAAAGATAGTGATGATCATATTCAACCTCCGATTGGGAGACGGCACTTAAAGAAGAAGAGATGAAATAGGTATAATGTATTCGTACCGAAAAATATTTTGAACGTTTCTAGAAAAATACACTTATACGCAAAGACTTTTCTTTTTATAAACTAGATAGATTAAAAAACATCGGAGGAAATAAAGAAACTCTTAAGATTATTGTTTATATTTACGTCCGAATATATTTTGTTCGAAGAAAAATTGAGAATTTCAACCAACAGTTGATCTTGATGGACAAGCTATAAAGAAGTCTAACATTTGTGCAAATCAACGCAAATATAATAAGGAAAAAATATCTTATTTTATATTTTTTTATTGGTAGATAAATAATTGATGTATGTTTAAGATGTTTATGGATATTATTTACAAAAATAATAGTTTTAAATTTGGTTGATGTAACTTTTCTAATAAAAAAAAATAACTTTATTTTCGCAGAAGTTTGTAAACGTTCTTTGTACAGATTCTTCATACAGTTGTCTGCAATGCAAGTGAAATAAAAATCGTACAGTTATGAATTTTCATGTAGTATGGCAACTGTGCTATTGGCCTGTGCACGTGCGCTGAAAAGATTTAAACGCGTATGGCGCGAGACTGAACCCCACTTCAAGTCCGAAAATATACTTTTAACCATTGTTGAAAAGCCAAAAGTCTGATTCTCTCGGCGCGCTCTATTTTCAGTTTTAGTTGCTCTTCGCGCCGTTGTAGTCGCGCGTCATTTCCGAATTTGATTTTCACGTTAAATAAAAATAATATATCAAAATAAAAAAAAAAAATCCGAGTTCATGGAAAAACAAGACGAAGTGTCCATAACGAAGGTTTCTGTCAAGAAAGAAAATTTAAATGACGATATCAAGGTAAGTGGTGTATGTGATAAAAATAGTGTGTTTGTTTAGGAAATATAAGGCGACCAAATGTGTGATCAAGTGATTCGCTCATTTATTTTTTCTGATGATCTTGCGCGTGTTTCGTTACATCATGGAAAGATGAGAATACAATTTATGTCTCTAAGCCTGTCATTGACTTTTAACTTTTTTAAAATATCAGATTTTTCTGCATTTAGCTTGAGCAAAATAAAACAATAATTATATTCAAAAGCAACTTTGATGTTTACAATTTAATTTGTTAACTAGTGTTTATATATATATATATATATATATATATATATATAATATATATATATATATATATATATATATATATATATATACAGAGTAAAATACAATGAATGTCTTGTCAAATAGTGTGTCCTTAAAAAACTTAGAACTTTCAACTACTATAAAACTTTTATAAATGTCTTATATTTTGTCATATATTATTTTATAAGTTGCAATAACAATAAGATCGAGGGGCTTCTGTACTAAAAACGAAAATTAATTTAAAAAATATTCGTAACATGAGATGTATACCATTTTACTGTAGATATTTGTTTATTCTAATAAAAATATTCCTTGAATACATATGCTGCTTGTGATAAAAATTGTTTGTTTGTTTAAGAAATATAAGATGATCAAATGTGCGATTAAGTGATCTACTCATTTATTTTTTCTGATCTTTCACGTAGGTATCTTGGAAATATGAGAATATTTTTATAAACTTGTCATTGACTTCCAAACTTCTTCAAAATAAATATCAGAAATTCTGTATTCAACTAGTACAGAATAAAATAATTACAGTAGTTACTTTATTTTTGTCTGGACTCTGGCTGACTTTTAATTGAAGTAATGAGGTTCTCTACCCCGTAGTGAGCTATGTCTATTGCAGGTAGATCGTTGAGGGCTTTATCGGTATATATATATATATATATATATATATATATATAATATATATATATATATATATAATATATATTATTTTTAAAAAATGTTAAAGTTAAAATTATTAAAAAAAAATATATGATTTAGGTACAAGATCCACTTGTATCAAGTCTCCCTTATGAAGGGTGGCTTGAGACAAGCAAAGGGAGGTTTGAGGCAAGCACAGGGAAGGTTGAGACAAGAGTAGTAGGTAACGATAAAGTTATGAGTTAAAATCAAATTTATTAAAGAAAGTAACTAGGTATTATTTAACCCAGAAATAACAATAATAAAAAAAATAGAAACATTTGAAAAATATGCCAAAATAGTATGTAGCTAAATAGATTATCTGCAACATCGGGAAAAACAAATTTGTATCCCGGAGGTTTTATTCACAATAGGTCGTAATCGTTATTATTAATATTTCTGACTTTGTCTACGTAATGTTGGAAAGTCCTTTTGGTAGAAAATCGTACAAGTACATTTCTTACAAACATCTTGACAAATAAAGCTTTCTTCGGCATTTTCTTGTTCAATCTGTTCCTCGATATCAGTTAACTTATCAGAACTCAAAAAATTGAAAGAATCGTTAGATTGTTCAGAGTATTCCTTGACTATCTCAATTTCATTTTGTTTAACTGGCACTTGTTTTTCATCTTCTAATGCCAATTTTTTTTAATCTTTCCACCGTTTCCTCCTTTTTTTTTATTTTCTTTTCCTTGTTCTTAGCTCTTTCTTCAAATTATTTTTCTATTAGGTCTTTTCCGGGGGGTGTCCGTTAAAATTCGTGTTCTCCCACGTTTCCTTCCAGCTTTATTTTTACGTAGAAGAGCTTTCGGAAATGGCCTTATAACCTCAGGGCTTACATATGCATTTGGATTATTTTGGGAAGTATAAGGGATGAGGGGTAGCTAAAAGTAAATTTTCTGTAGCCTGTAAAGCTTGAGATTGATCTGGCCGGTCTGTAATTTCTGCACTGTTAAAATCACTATCTGTAAATAAAGATATGTTGGATTGTTAACCATTCAGTTATCGGCTACTTCATTATAAAATCTTTTAAATGGCCCAAAAACGTTGGTATCCAGGGGCTGTAACTTATCGCTAGTATGAGGTAATATGGTGAATAGTATTATTCCGTTGTTTTTACAGATGTTAAGCCCTTTTGGCGAAATATGGCTATCATGATTATCTAGTATCAGAAGACACTTGTAATTCATGTCGACTCGGAAATATCTAATGAAGTGCAGTAAATATTTTCCGAAATTCTCATGAGTCATCCAGCTTGATGGGTTAATAGCAGCATCAGCACCAATCGGAATCCCTCTTACTCTAGTCATATAATCCTGGATCCTAAACCTCGGATAAATTTGCGGCTTATGTGCTGTTGTAACTCCCGTAATATAATATACAATCAGGTGTATTCGATTCCCTTTCCACGATGGTTTTTAAATTGTCAAAAAATAGCCGAACAGTATATTTATTAAATGCAGTGGAATGTCCTACACTCGTGGCTTCTGGTGTTCTAAGTGATAAGTTATTATGTCGTTACATAAATCCTCTTAGCCAGTCACACGTAGAAGCTCTATTTTTCTTTCAAGCTGCTGAAAATTTTTTATTATTTTCAGTTGCAAAGATAAAAGCATGTAACTTTCTTACTGCGATTGAAGTAAGTCCATAATGTAAGTCAGCAAATTTAAGTAGGTATTAAACTAGCAAATATTCTTCTTGATTAGTAAAAATTTGCAAAGAATTGAAGTTTGCTACAAACGACACATTTTCGTTTAATTTAAATTTATTTACATATCTAGATAGAGTTGTTCTATAAATATTAAATTTTTTAGCGACTGTGAGGATTTTACCATTAGTGCTACATATTTTCGGTACTGCAGTTTCCAAAATTTCAGGATCACTAGGCAGTCGGCCTTTCGATTTCCATTTAAAAGGCATCTGTAAAAAAAATAATATTGTAGATGCCGTAATGCATTTTTTAATATTGATAAGAAGGAAAACATACTGGAAAACAGTTTTTAATCATGATGGGAGGTTTGAGCCATGTCTCCCTCCCCAGTCTCCTCTCTCTCCTCTCTCTCTCTCTCTCTCTCTCTCTCTCTCTCTCTCTCCTCTCTATATATATATTATATATATTCTATATATTATATATATTATATATATTATATCATAATATATATATATATATATATATATATATATAATATATATATATATATATATATATAATATATGTTTGTGTTTTGAGGTTTTCCGCGGGAGCTATATGTGCTGTCACTATTTTTCCGGGTTTGACTCAGCGTTGTAAAGTGCTGGTTTTTCTCGAAAACCATTGTTTTGGCGACGTTTCGGCAAGGTCTCACTGCACATTTCTCAAGCCTGGTGGAACTACTTCTCGTCGTTACTCGATTAGTACTGGTCGACGGGGCATTTCGGCGCTCGTTTAAATACTCTCTCGGCGGCGCGCGGGCTCTTGTGATTGGTCCTGCCTGTGTGCGAGTGGGGCGGGGCCTTGTCTGGCGGTCTCGCTGTTTGTTTTTTCTGTGCGTTGACTGAAGTTGAATTTTCTTGGACGGTTCTTTGCAGAGCTGGTTTCCATGTTGTTGGCAATCTTTGGGCATCATCTCGAGTGTTTAGGTTATTTGGATATTTTTCTATTTCTATGGCTTCCCTGATTATTCGTTTGGTTTTGTGTTCGATGTTCGCTAGCATTGTTGTCTGTTCTAGATCGATTGTGTGTCCTGTTGTTAGGGCATGTTGTGCAAGGGAAGATGTCTTTTCTTGCTTTGCAATAGCGTTTCGATGTTCTTCTCGTCTTACTTGAATTCTTCGATTAGTCTGTCCGATGTAGGATTTGTCGCAGTCTCCACAGGGAATCTTGTACACTCCTTGGTTTTCTATAGTGGGATTTTGGTTTTTGCGGAGTTAAGCATATTCGAAATTTTCTTATCCGTGTTGAATATTGTCTCTATTTTATGTTTTCTTAGGACTCTACTGATTTTTTCCGTAGTGCCCTTCACGTACGGTAAAATCGTCTTGGCAATAGGTTTTTCTTTTTCTTCTGTTGATTCTTTGCTTTTTTCCTCCTTGTGATTTTTTGTGCCTTTTCAATTGTGTACGTGGTGAAGCCATTTTTTTCTTAATGCTGTTTTGACCGTTTCATTTCTTTGTTCCTGTGTTCCTCATCTGTTAATCTTTCTGATCTTATAGTCAGGGTTTTGATGACTGACTGCAGTTGTGCAGGATGGTGGTGTGAGTCAGCGTGTAGATATCTGTCGGTGTGTGTTGGTTTTCTGTATACCCGTGTATCCTAAAGTTCCATCTGTTTTCTTTATTATTAAAACATCCAAAAACGGTAGCTGTTGGTCTTTCTCTAGTTCCATAGTAAACTGAATTTTGGGGTGGATGGTATTAATGTGATTTAGGAATGTATTTAGTTTTTCTTCCCCATGTGTCCAGATAATGAAGGTGTCGTCCACGGTATCTCAACCATAGTTTCGGTTTATACTCTGCCGTTGTTATTGCTCGTGTTTCTATTTCTTGCATAAACAGATTTGCTATCACCGGTGGACAGTGGTGAACCCATGGGTGCTCCCTCGACTTGTTTGTACCTTTGGTCATTGTATATGAAATATGTGTTGTTCAGGCAGTGTCTCGTTAGGTTTACTGTATCCGGTGGTATTGGGTATTTTTTTCCTATAATCTCTAACGATTCTTCTACTGGGACGTTAGTAAAAAGTGACACCACGTCAAAACTCACTAGCAAATGTCCCGGGTCAAGAGTCACGTCCTTTATACGCTCGATGAAGTGGCCTGCGTTCTTGACGTAAGAATCCGCTTCCTCTGCGTACGGTTGTAACTGATTGGCTAAGAATTTTGCGAGCGGCTGTGTGGGTGATCCGATTGAACTAACTATTGGTCGTAGTGGCATCCCAACTTTATGAACTTTTGGTAAACCGTAGAGCTTAGGGCACCTAGATGATTTTTCGCGTGGAATCAGCTTGGGCTGATCCTCCTTTTTTTATGTTTGAAACTTTGATCTTGGCCTTCGT